GGGTACCCGCGAGGCCTGCTGATTTCACAGCTGAGGGGCTTCCTGTCATCCACGCCCCTGCCTCCACTTGCAAATCCCCTCTTGTCTGTCTGGTTCTACGGCAACTGTCAAGTGGATACACATTTCATTAACCTAAGCACCCTCTCTCCTTCAAAGCAAATCCTAGAGGTGTATCCTCCTCCCCGGTACTGTACCAGTAGTCTTTTTCATGAGCACAGAACCCCAAAGTGAGTAATATATACGTCCTCGGAACCCAGGCACGAAGTCAGGAACTAAGGATGTGCTGGGAGGCACGAGACACAGACTTCGAGATCACAGAGCAAAGGCCTTAAAAAGGCAAGTGTGCACCGAGCACAGTCAAGGAGGAAGCAAAGCTCTTGCATTTTTGATGACAGTAATCAAGCAGAGGGCCTAAGCCTAGCGGATTCAAGGGAAGTAAAGTACATGCTAAACCTGAAACTTTAGTTACCCCAAAACTCTAATCTTTGAGCACAAACCGGTATGAGACAAATATCAACAAGAAACCATGTAGGGTTTGTGGTTTGGGGTTGGTGGTGGTACTAGGAGCAGGGACGGAGGAAACGCCCATGATGCTGCAGTTCTGACGCGCTCTGCCTGGCGCAGCTGGCCTGGTTTCTCCATGACTCAGTACAAAGCCTGTTTCCTGGGATCCCAGAAAGAGAAGTGGAAAGTAGTGGAAAGTGCTCTGCCCCCTTTGGACCTTCCCTTTTACCCCTATCCCTGAAGCACCCAAAGGTGCAGCTGCCCCTGCTCTCACATCAGCCATAATCAAGGATAGAGGCCAAGAGGAAGGAAGTGGTCCAAGAGCTCTGCAAAACTGAGGGGCCCTTCCCACCCAGTTGCTTGGCAATGATGTCACCATAACCGACTCACTTAGTAATTGGAAGCTGAGGGCCTCCACCGACCACTGCGACTCCCCTCCTGCGGCTGCTGGGCCCTGACACTCCAGCTCATCACATGGTAGGAAAGCACCGACAACTTAAAGAAGCAAATGCCCCAGACACATGCATCCATGGCTTGGAAGTAAAGCTGAGTTCAGGCAGGCACAGCACAGACCTGCTGCTTGGCCTACGAAGCTTATACACAAATCCCGCTGCTCCATTTCTGCCAAAATGTTGGCGACCCAGACCCCAGCCAGTCTGTGAACAGCCTCTTTATAAAAGCGGTTCCCACACCAGGCTACACCACAGGCCTCACCACTGTCAAACACTCTCTGCGCTCTGAATTACACACTAGCATTTCTTTATTTTACACGACACAGAGTGGAAAATTACCAGATACAGAACTGGGGGGAAATATAAAGGGTTTTGAGGATAATTCCCCGCCTCCTTTGCCATAGCACTCAAGCCGACACAGGCCCAGCAGGTCACAGGGGGGTCAAGGGACAGAGTAGGAGAAGGGTACATCCCGTGAGCTACCAGAGGCCCGGGCAGCGTCGGCTCGTCTCGTCACAGGCAGGACCTGGTCTCCAGCACCCTTGTCTGTGCACTCGACTTTCTAATGAGCTTCCACTGATGCTGAAACTGAGGCTGTGCTCACACCTGGACAGGTGTCCTCCCATCTCCTACAAGGACGAGAGAACTAGATTTCCCCCTTAGTCATTCCGAATGGCAGAGAACGGAGGGGCTGGGGGCTGAAGCTTCCCCAAATGGGATGGGGAGGACAGTCCCAGTAAGAGCAAACCTCAGACCACGGTGACTAGAGGTCTTATCTACCATCTAACATGCTATATCAATCCTAGACAAACTATGAAGTCAAGAAAAAGGGAAGTGTTTTAAAGACAGGACATAGGGTTCCGGGTTTTAGCCAGCCATTCAGTATATTCTGTCTCAGCAAAGAACAACTGCGACCTGTTGGTTCTTCCAACGGAAGATAGGCAATAGCAAATTTTGGGACATACTTATAATCTGTTTTATAATCTCAAAGTATTCCTGGTCAAGCGTTATATAATTATGAAAGAACTCCAGGCACACGGCTATGAGCAACTTGCTCTAGGCCACGCAGCTATCATTCAACGTTCACGTGTGGATTCCAGACACGTAACAAGTAATCTCTGAACCAGGCATGGTGCATACACCTGAAATCCCAGCACTAAGCAGGCATGGTAGGGAGAGGTTGAGTTCAATGGTCTGCCTGGGCCACAGAGGGAGACCCTATCTCAAAATAAGAAGGGTGAGGAAGGGGAATGGAAGATAGGGGGGAAGGGAAAGAATAAGGGAGACAAGAAAAATCCAATAAAAAGTAAATGGAGAAGTAAAAGACTGATCCACTTATGTATGTATGTATAATATATATATATATATATATGTTTATGTCACGTGCAAGCCTATACATAAATAATTACCTTAATATAAATATACAATAAATATTAAAGCCTTATTTTTAAGTGTTAATGTTAAATTCTATAGAAGAAGCTATCCATCCATGTAGCCTCACAACATTAAAACGTATTGTGAACTAAAGGCTAACAGTACCACGTTTGTCTTACTCAAAAGTAGCACATTAACCACAAGACCACTCGCATCTCGTTGCGGAATGTAATCAATATTTGATCTAATTACTGCTAAACCAAGCCAACACTTGCATTCCCCCAAACTGCTAAAGCATCCAGGACTGGGCCTGGGGCCCACATTGCCCTCTAGTGGCCAAGAACTACCACACAGGCACAGCAGAGAATGAATGTCTTCCTCAGAAGGTTCAAACTCTCCCCTGCTTTCTCAGATAGGCCCTGTTGTGGTCTGAATGAGACTATCAGAGGTACACATGTTGCAATACTTGGTCTCCAACTTGTGGTGGTTGGGAAGGTGGAACCTTTAAGACGTGGAAAACCTTGCCGGAGGTAATGTCACTGACTTTGAGTTGTATCGCCTGGCCCCATTTCCTGTTCTGCCTACTTCTCCTGTGGAGATGAAACCCCATCACTCTGCTTCTGGACTCGTAGGCCAGCCTCAGGCTCCCGCTGCCATGCCTTCTGCCTGTCACAAACGGTAGGAACCCTTCCGCACTGTCAGCCCAAATCAGCTCTTTCTTCCCTAACTTGCTTTTTGCCAAAGTGTTTCATCACAACACAAAACTAATTAATATAGATAAACAGATGATATATTTTAAGGAGAATTCTCACTATGACTAACTTGGCGACCACACTAATCATTTTTTGTTCATTTTAACACAGAATAATAAGCTTTTTAGAATTTAACCTGACAGAGTCCTTGAACCCAGTGCCTTGTTTCTGGTACCTGCTGTGAAGTAACCAGGCTTCTCAGAGAGTGCTGGAACAGTAGAATTTTATCAGAAACATTGTAACATAATCTCTACCCTTGGTAAGGCAGCCTCCCTAACACCAACTTTTGCAATTGCTTGTGGGCAATTTGAGTCTCCCATGAATGACTGCGGCAGTACTCAACCTGGGGGCCATGGCCCCTTTGAGGGCTGTTTATCAGCTATCCTACATTATTAGATATTTACATAATGATTCAAAACAGTAGCAAAGCTACAATTATAAGGTATCAACAAGAGTAATTTAAGCAACAGAAGGAACTATACTAGAGAGTCACAGCAATAGGGAGGTTGAGAACCACTGGACTAAGACTTTATTTTTTTTTCTTAAAGATTTACTTATTTTTAACTTATGGGCATGAGTATGATTCTGCCTGTATGTTTGTTTGTGTCTCACGTGCATCCCTGGTGCTTGTGGAGATCCCAGGAGGTTATTGGACCCTTAGAACTGGAGCTACTGATGGCTCTGAGCAGCCATGTGGGTGCTGGAAACGGGCCCTCTAAAAGAGCAGCTGACCTCGCAACCATCTCTCCAGCCCTGAGGCAGAAGCTGTAAGTCAGGACAGCACGGCTGAAGAGTTCTTGATGGACTTAAGACAAAACACACAGAACAATGCTGGCACAAAACCTCAGCACTGCAGACAACTCGCATCCAAATGTGAAAATCTCAGTGGTCCTAAACCTCTCCCCTACTACACAGACGGAAAACGTCCATCTTTGGGCACAGGAACACCATGCCCCATGCCTCCCCTCAGTGAGCTGACAATCACGTGGACGCCTCTGCTTTCCTAAGGACAGAACTCATGTCTGCAGAGCCTTCTCAGAGACAGAAACGCCACTCAATGTGAACCATGCTTTCAGCACGCTGTTCCTCTGTGGATATTACGACCGTGAACCTTTTTCTGATAAGAAGATAATGGCTAAAATGGCTCCCAAACTATTCCAACGGAGGAGTACTATGGGGTGTGTGTCAGGTCCCGCCTGGCAAAGAAAGCATTTTGGCTTTTTCATTGTTTCAGCTTTCCATAACCCCAGGACCAATGCCGAGCTGAACAGACCAAAGAGAAGTAAAAAGTTAGCTACAGTCTTTGCTCTGAAGGTTGGCTAATACTTACTTCAGTATTGCTTTGCATCTAACACAAGCTGCATATATGAGGAGCAATTTTTTCATTATAAAAGTAATATTTATTTCTCTGAAGACTTAGAAAGAAAAACAGGCTTTGGAAATTTTATATTTTACATGCGATTTAAATTATATGCAAAATTTAAATTTATATTGCAGTTCACTAGCAAAACAATCTTTTGATAGGAAAAAATAAAGAGTATAATTGTTATGACTATTCAATGACCATGGCCATATATAGCCATGTGCTGCCCTCTGCTGTGCTACAGACTAAATTACACCCCCAAACTAAAGCCATATATCTATATAAAGTCAATCACTAGACAAGCCACGTACTAAAGCTAAATGCTAGAAGATGATAAAAGGTAAATAAAGGTCAATAAAAGATTTCCCCATCAATATATTACGAGAGCCCCAAGCCAATGTGTGTTTTACTGTAATAACGGCACGTCTCCCTGGTCCCAGAAGAGAAAGATTGGCATTGTGCAGGCTTTTATAAGACATACATCATAGTAAAGACGTCACATTTACTAAATGAGAAGAAAACAGGACAAAAAGGAAGAAAAGCAATATGAACTACCTCTTGGCTATCCTTGTTTTGGTTCGCCCAGAAAATTTTATGATAGAGCGTCTCCATCGAGTTGCTGGAATCGGTGCGGTCAAAGCAGTGACGGTCCAAGACCTCCAGGGTGTGTAAAACCCGACTAATAGTCACCCCTGGATGAAGAAATTAAGGAAGCGATTAAATGAGCTGAAGTATTCGAGCATTAAAAACACCACTACACAAGGGAGGGAGCTTTGTAACTCTCAGCATATACTACCAAGGAGCTGCAGGAACTGAAGTAGGCATTCTGAGCAGCCAGGAGCTAAAGGCCTAGAGCTCCCTCGTTCCTGAGTGCCTTGCCAGCCCAAGGAAGACAACATGAAGCTGACCACTCTTCCGCGGGATACGGTACCTGCTGTCGACTCCTGACACTTGTCAAAAGACCACCGGACCTCTACTGCACGGCCTCGCTGTTTGATCTGCTGTTCTACCTCATAAATCCTGGCCCGAACCTGGAAGATAAACACTTCAAATTAACTTCTTCTTGGAGACTCTGAATGGCTGCCTAAATCACGTCAGGGCTTCTACGTGAGTAGCTCATCCTCTGGCGAGTGACAATCTCTACTGTATCACAGGCAACCTAAGTTCCTGCATGAGCCATGCATTTTTAACTTTACAAGTGATGGTTTGATTCAACAGTAAATGCTTATAAAAACAAACGCCCGGGGGGGAAATGTAACAAGTGAAATTTCTTCACAATATGTAAGGCAAGGCAGAGTTCGAGTATCTCTGAGCCACTGGTCCAAGCAGGAAACGAATGAGCAGAACTTCAGTTACTTAAGGAAGCAGCTCAGAGAGAGGCAAGCGTTTCATGCTAAGTATTAGTCATAATCCCAAGGCTGAAGCCGCATTATGTCTTGAAGCAAATAATGCAGCACAAATAAAAATACACAACAATTACTAAACATCACAAGCTATTATTCCAGGGCTCACAGTCGGGATCAGACTCTTCACCAAAACTGCTGGGGTGGCAGCTGCCTGGGTGGCAGAACACTCTATGAACATTGGTGTTTCAAAAAAAAAAAAAAGTCAAGAAAGATCCAAAAAAAAAAAAATCACCTAGAGTCATGGCAGAGCTGGGACAGTCACTACGGTATCTCAGGTGGCCCACCATGCCCAGGCGCTTCTGGGAAATGAAAACACTCATAAAACAATGAAGCAAATGTCTACCTGCTGATTGAAAGCCGTATTCCCACCCGGCATGGGGAGGCTGGAAGGGGCAACCTGCAGCAGATCCAGGGGAGAGCCTGGGTTTGCGATCTTATTTTCGTTTGTGGAATAGTTCCACACCAAGGCACTTGGGCAACACAGAGTGACAGTCTAGAAACAAAGCAGGAATATCCCAGACATTTAGAGGAAGGAGAAAAGTATTAACAGCAACTTCAATTAAAAAAATGGCAGCAGGTTTCCTACAGATGATCTTAAAATACAAATGTCATTCCCCACTCCCAGCTACCCAAGTGGTAAGACAGGACTTATGAGTCATCAACACAGCTACCGAGAAATTAGTGGGATTTATTACCTAACAGTCCAACAGAGGAAATGCAGGCGGCTGAGTAAAATGTAATATTTGTTACTTTCGAAGGAATTTTTTATAGTTAAGCAAAAAGAAACACACTTAGAATATTAATTGCTAAGATTATACTTTTTATTGTTTTTAAAAAAAACTCTGAAGTAGTGTGTCTTAAAGCTTGACAAACACCCAGCAGATGCACCCCCACACACACACACAGGAATCATCCAGTGTTTCCATAAAAAGCTGGACAACAAATATCTCCAGCTTTGTAGACCACCTACAGCTTCTGCCACACATTTCCCTTTGGTGATTTCAGTTACACAATAAAAATGGGAAGCCTATTCTTGGCTCGCAGGCTAGATCTGGTCTAGAGATTAACTCCCCCACCTGTACCCTAAACTTTTTGTGGACACTGTTTTTAAGCTCAGCCAGATTGTACGCAGCGGTCCTTAAAAACATCACACCTGTTCGTGAGCCGGGTGTTGCTGGCTTAGCTTTATCTCAAAAACGTCAATCAAAAGACAAATAAATGGCACTTCCTGTATCTCAAGGCTGGCTCTGAGAACGGAATGGCTTCATATGCCACCGCTTAACACAGTGCCTGAAACCAAACTCAATACAGTGTGAAAGACATTTAGAAAGGACAGGACCATGACAGCGGTTTTGCTGCTTGCTTCTGTTTCCAGACTATAATTTTCTGTTGTTCTTTTCCCGTACACCAACCCTCCTATTCTCCTTGACAGGCTCTCCTCGACATCTCTCAACTATATGTGCCTTTCAGATCAGTAAGTCATTTAACACCAGGCGCTCTGTGGGCAGCCTCACCCCACCCCAGGTCTGCCCTCGTCTTCAGAACTAGAAATGTACCCATCTCTTGAGCATATCCACAGGCAGAAGAACAATCCTGGCATCTTTTGGCATTTGTGAGGTACTAGCTCGAAGGCCCCTCTCAGATATCTAAACCACAGATGCTCAATCTTCTAAAATTGCATAGTATCTGCCTATAATCCGTGCCATCCCCACACATCCTCTAAATCACCTCTACATTACATCAACAGCATATGAATAGCCGCCACACTCTGTTAGTTTGGAAATAAGACAAAAATGTCTGTGCACACTCAGTATACACACATAAGTCCTCTGGCCCTTTTTCTATGCTATGCCCCACCCCACCCCCACCCCACCTCCCAGTCAGGAAACCTTTCCACTGAAACTACAAAACACCTACAAAGGTCCCTGGCTTTCAAGTTGAACAAAAAATGCCCTTTTGAAGCACCATAGCCCCTAGTGTATCTCTCCATTAACACTCAGCATATGCTATGCAAGCTCCACGTATAACTCTTTCTTCTTATCTGGACAGTGAACTCCAAGGAGACCCTGTCTTTCAAATCACCTTGAGTCCAGAGTCCCTTGGCAAAGAGCAAAAGGCACTAAGATCTCAAGAACCAGAAACTGAACGCTGAGGGGGCAGCTCTGGGAAAGGACAGCTCTCACGCCTAAATGAAGGAGCCAGAGCTAGCCCACTGCTGTGTTCAAGGACAGCACAAGCAACAAGGCCTGACTTTAAAGAGACGCAGAGGCATCCAGAGAGGCGCGGAGCTCAAGATGCCAACTGTAGATGCTGAGACTGCTGCCCAGAGAAGACGTCTCGGCAGAACAGCAACACAGCTGACCTGAACTACAGGTTGTCCGTGAAGGGTACAAGTGAACTGCTTCACCATCCGAAGGATAGGCAGCTGAAAGCCAGATGTGGCATTTCTCACCTGCAATCATAGTGCTCAGGAGGCTGAGGACTGCTCTAAGTGTCTCCCCAACCTAGGCTACAGGTGAGACCCTGCCTCTAAGTCAACGAAAACATCACAAAGGACAACCACAATAAGTTTCATCTGCGTAGCTACAACAAGTCTCTCAGTCCACTCTAATAGTAATAGATCATAAATTTCTAATAAAAGTTATCGGGTCTTTCCCACAGTGAATTCTAACATAAAATAATACAGACTATTACAGACTTACCTGCAACATACAACTAAGTCCATAAACCAAGGGGCCATGTTGCGCACAGGAAAGGAAATCCGAGAAGGCCAGCTGCATGGGGCTCATACCAGGGCCAGGGGTGCCAGGACTGGGGGTCCCAATACTCGTGTTGTTTGCTCCGATTATCATGTGGGGTGAGTGAGCAGCAAGGAGGTTGGGGCTGTCACTCAGCAGCAAGGAAAGACGCCGGGCACAAAAGTACGCTAGACGACGAGACAGGTAGGCAGACTGGACAAACTCATCTGAGTACTGAGAGAGAGGTAGAAGGGGGACAGGAGTCAGTCATGTCTTATGCTTCAGAACTGTTTCAATTTGGCCTCGTGATTAGGAAAAAAGGCATAAATACAAGATAGGCCAATGTCATCCAGCTGTAACATAAAGTAAGCCACATACGTAGTCTTGAACTTTTCCAATAACCATTAAGCAAATAAAACAGGGATTCAAGAGATAGCACGGCAGTTACAGAATGCTCACTGTGTGGTTCTCGGCACCCCCACATCAGGAGGCTCACAACTACTTCTCACTCGCCTGTGGGCGCCCGCATGCATGCGATGCACACACACACTCATGCAGGCACACACATAGACACGTAAGTAAAACTAGACCATTAAAAAAGCAAAATGAGAGTCAAAGAGAATAACGTGCTAATTGACGCCAATACTTCCAAATCGCATCACTTCACCAAGGAACTAATGTAAGACGCATCCAGGGTATATATTTTTGCATGAAATCTGAAGTCTGGTGTGCATTTTATACTGATGATGTTTCTCGGTTCGTGGTGGTTACTCTTCAAGAGCTCAAAGGCCCATCTGGTAAGGTGCTTAACAAGAAATGCAAACACAGACCAACCTGGAAACCAACATAGAAGAAATAGGCAAGACTCTCTTGTGTGCAGCTCCAGGGGAAGGTACGAAGGACATGGGAAAGTTGCCTGCCCAGTGATGCACTTCCAAGTCTGAATTATCACTATCTCACGTATGACTAAGAAAAGAATAAACCTCATTCAAAATACCATTCTTTAACATTATTTGGCAAATAGTTTTAGTGATCCTAAGAACATAGTTGATTGGCTGCCGTGTCCCACGGTAACTGGGGAACGGTGACAGCACTCAGAGGCTGTCTTGCTCAGAGAGGAGAAAACCAGTGTGGTGAAATTAAGTTTGGGTTAGAAAAAAATAACTATGACACAACAATAGAAATAGAAATGCTTCCGTAGCATTTGAAACAGTTTCTCCCTTTCAGAAGGAACGGTTTCCCCTTTCTACCTCTCCTTGCCTAGTCATTCCTGTCACACTCATCTCTTGCCATTAGCTCCACTAGGTGGCGCTGAGACACACCGTACCTGCAGCATCAGAGGCAGAAGGAGTTTGAGGAGGTTGTCGTCCACGGGTCTGATCTTCTCTAGGACGTCCAGAATCCACGTCAGATACTCATGTTTTTCCAACATCCCTTCCTTAAATGAAGAAAGGGTACACTACTAATGACAAAAATACCCTAGGGTTTTAAGATACGCCGCCGCCATGCAAATTCAATCCCGTGTGACCACAGTCCAAACCCCAAACAAATAAAGCCCTAGAGGGCTTGGGGGAACAGTATGTGTGACCTGGGGTTTTATTTTTGCTTCTGGTAACCCACTTCATTCGAAACTTATTTTATAAAATCCAGATATTCAGAAGCCATCACACTCCAGGCTGACACACCCCAAGAAGCTATCAGGGGCAGGAACTCATTTTCAGGGAGCAGATGGGGCTAACTGGGATGCCTCTGAAGAAGACTACTCATACCACTGTCTCAAGGATACAAAACCCACACCAGACTCCAGGCCTTGAGTAAATCTTAAATGACTCTCAGATTCGTCTACCTATAAATGTATTATTTGAAATATCATTTTAATGACCCATTAAATGATGGAAAAGATAGACTTTCAATAAAACCAATTTTAAAGTAATTCTATACAACCATCCTAAAAACAAAACAAAACAACAACAACAAAATCCAATTACCTCTCTGGCATGGTATGGTGCCTTTTCCCTTATTTTTTTTTCTTTTTCTAACCCAAGGCATTTGCCAAGCACTCTACTACTGAGCTACATCTCAAAGATGCCACCAACTCTAACATATTCATGCTGTCCTTTGTCAACTGCCTTCTTACACACATGAATGCACACATACACACATGCCTGCCTGTATAAATACATATGGTGTGGGATGTCCTTCTGTATATGTGTTGCTTTTATTGGGTAATGAATAAAACTGCTTTGGGCTATGGCAGGGCAGAATACAGCCAGGCTGAAAGAGATATAGAGAGACAGTAGGCATGGTTAAGGAACCGCCATGTAGGTGACAAAGAAGAAGGGCATGCTGGAACCTTACTCAGTAGGCCACAGCATCGTGGCCTACTGATACAGATTAATAGAAATAGGTTCATTTAAGATATAAGAGTTAGCCAGGAATATGCCTAAGCTATTGGCCAAGCAGCGTTATAATTAATATAGTTTCTGTGTGATTATTTGGATCTGGAGGGCCAGGAACAAAAGAGGATCTCCCTCTACACACATGCACATTTGTATGACTTTCCAGACATATATACTTAATGTCATATCATAGTCTTGGTGTTATGTTTCATAGGATGAAAGACTTCAAAATAGAAACAATCCATGTTTTATGAAAATCATATGCCCTATTTATGAATTTTGCAAGCATTTAAAATAAACTTTACATTAATGTGTAATGATGGTGAGTGCAAGGTAACAAAATTAACTTTAAAACGGAATCCCGAGGTTGGGGAGACAGGACAGGAAGTAGAATGTTTGCTGTGCGAGCATAAGGACCTGAGTTCAATTCCCAGCATCCATATGAAAAATTAAATAAATAAATGTTAAACATAGCGGCATGCATCCGCAATTCCAGGGCAGAGAAGTAGCTAAGGGCAGACCCTTGAAGCTCAATCTAGACTAAGCCAAAGGTCCCTGTAGGAGACCTGGTTACAGAAAATAGGAAGGCTGGCTCCTGAGGAATGCATCAATATCAGTGCTGACCTTTGGCCTCCAAGTGTCTATGCAATAGGGACAAGTAAAGGTGCACATGTGTGCGCGCGCACACACACACACACACACACACACACACACACAAAACAAATTTAATGCATGTTACTACTTTGTTACATAATCTTTCTAAAAGCACTAAGTGTGCTGAATAAACACACTTCTGGGATACCAAGTGAATGGCTAGCTTAGTGAAAGCCATAGCAGTGTGGAATAGCTTCAGCAGTCAGCAGGAGTGGGGCTGGGTTCTTAAGAGCTATGTTTAGTCATTTAAAAACTAACAACGCTATTTCACAAAAGGAACACACAGTGTTTGTTTGTTTTTGTATTGGCGCTGTCTCTAAAACTCACGTTTCCTGGACAGTTCAATTGAAGTAATAATGGAACATTTAAAAACCACGAATTCCTTTCCTCTTTGAGGAAGATAATGAATAATGAAAATCTGGGCTAATAACAGGACTTTAGCTGAATACACCTTGTCAGGAATAAAAACAAAGGCACATGGCACCACAGTTGACCTCTGATGGTAAAAAGAATTACAACAGACTGGGTGAGAACCTCAGAGTTCCTGCTTTCCCTTAATTCACCGCTTAAATTTTCATTTCAAGGTACAACTGAGCTACACGAAGAGACCTTCGCATGAAAACATCCAGGGGCAGAGGAGGTCTGCTATGAGACAGAAAGCATCAGCACAAAGGAGTTTCTCAATAAATATCTCAATAAATAAATAAATAACTTTCAAAATAAAGAGTTTAAGGGGGTTGTGCTTAACAGCACAATTACAAAGTAATTAGTGGCAGTAAGATACCAGATGTCACTGACAACTGAAGATGAATTTGTGTAACAAACTGTCACCACAGATCACACAGGTTCCCCTGAATGTACTGTATGTAAGACATGTACCTGACACTGTCGTGCATGCCTGTAACCCCAGGGAGGCAGAGAAAGTCAACTAGATCTACATAGGTGAGTTCAAGGTCAGCAAGAACTTGCCTCAAAAATTTTCATTTACATACAAATAAATGTTAAACTTCTTTCTGTGAATGCATCAATCCATATAAAGATCTATTATTTAGCCGAGAAAAATACAGCCATAGATATCTGTCAGCATGTTTTGGTCAACCAAAGACCACACGTGGCAGGTACATACTGTGTCATACAGTCTAAGTATGTAGCAGGCCATACCATCTGCATTTATATATAAGTGTACTATGTGATGTTTGCAGAATGATAGAAGCACCTAGCGACCCAGTCCTCAGAATGCATCCCTGCTGCTGAGCAGCGCATGACTGCATGTGGAAGGTGCCCTTTCCTGGCACGCCTTCGTCAGGTTACCTGGAACATGTGAAACGCCAGCTTCTCGTTGTACTCCCACTGCTTCATGGCTTGCTCGACCTCTGGCGGCACGGGGACAGGACCGTCACCTGTACTGGAGGCCATGTGGTAGAAGTCAGAGATCTTGACCAACTGCTCTCTTAGGTACCTGGTAGATATTTGCGTCCACTCTGTATTGAGAAGGAGGGAAACAGAGTTCTGATTATAGACACAGCTTAAGAATTATACCTCTTTTCCTCAGACTACCCTGAGGACATACTTTGAAGTCTGACATTTGTTACCTAAAAATGACTTTTGCACATGCAGCCATTATTCAAGAGAGCATGCCCAGACAGTACCTGGTCAGATCTCAGGAGGACTAAGTCATCCTCCTCTTGTGCCACTGTGACCCTAAAAGACTTCTGTACGTGAATTTCATCAGCTGTGGTAAACACCAGTTAGCATCACAAACCACTAAAGGGTCATCAGAAAATAGAACAGCAGAGAAGAGTGCTTGCAAGCACTCTTACAAACTCAAGAACACCAAACCTCTCCCATGCAGCTCTTAGCGTGTGTGCTTCTTTCTCACTCCGTATCAACTTTCAAACATACATGCACTGGATTTCTGACACCCACAGGCTAGACCATGAGCTTCCAAACCTATGCACCACTCCCCAGGGTGTATTTAGACACAGGAATGGCTGACCCTGGTCTGACAATCCGCACCCATAACTCAGGTTGAGTGAGCAGCACTAAAAGCTAAGAAATGAAGAGGCGGCGAGAAGTGGGGTAGGGAGCTGAGGAGAGGGTTCAAGGGGTAAAGTCCTGTCTTTCCTAGAGTGAGGGAGCTGAGTCTCAAAACCAAGAACTTCAATCTATCCAGGTAGACAGTACACGTCTGTAATTTCAGTGCTCCTATTATAAGATGGGAGAATCCCTGAAAGCTTGTGGGCCAGGGAGCCCTATGGAAGCAGCTCAGCTTAACAGCAAACAACAAAGAAACCTTCCCCTCAGCCAAGGTAGAAGGAGAACCAAAAACTGAGGTGTTGTGGGGTAATAGGTAGATCAGTGTATCTGCTTGTGAACTATTAGTTATAGATAACTTACACTGGTATAGATTCTTATATATTAATACATATGTAAAGTTATCTTTGTATTCCTAAAATAATTTGTATATTGATACAAATTCAAATTATATTTGTTATATTGAGCATGCTCCTATTTCTGTTTACAGTATTTGAAGTTATTTTGTCATATTGTATGCATGTATGCTTCTACCTCTGCTTACGATATTTTTGTATATTGATGCAATTTTGGGATACTTTTTATCATTTTGCACTATGCATTTCTACCTATGCTCAAGATATTTATAAATATATATATATATATATATATATATATATAGTTACAATTCGAGGTCACTGTCTTCCTCACAACGCATTTGTTTGCAGATTTTTTTATTTTTTATAATGTGAAGCTTTAGTCTTTAAGTTATACAGGCATTAAGAATTATAGGTTAATAGTTACACATGCTTGTCATATTTTTAGCTATGTTAGTCGGGTTCTCTACAAGCACAGAGATGTACTCCGCATAGATAGATAGGTAATCTTCATATACTTCAAAGAACTGCAGAATATGGCATTTAAATAACTTAGGATTCTGTTGACATGAGACACAATTGCTGCAGGCAGCACCAATCTATTCCTGAGAAAATACTGGACACTGAAGACACTCAACTTGAAGCTTGTCATCTTGGCAAAACTGACCTTTGGTCAAAGAACTGCCCTTTCCTCAACTACTGACAATATGAATGCTGTCCCAACTGGACAAACAAGGTACAACAAAAACAACTGCTAAACCATCCAAGACAGGGTGGCAGTCTTTCAAATTTTCCTGTTTCTGAAAATGGGCTGTCAGATACTCTAGGCCTTACCCAAAGTCGGTTGCCTCAATGTTGCAAAAGAGAGTTTGATTGATCGTTCAGGTAGCCAGCTATCTCTGTCATTTCTTGCACCTTTTGGAAATCACTTGCTTGCATTTCCTGCTTACTCGGGTAATATTAATTTCCTTCTCGGGTCTTTGATAGGGTTGAAGACTAGTTGGTCATAGCTACTTTCCTCTCATAACTTAACTAACTCATGCTATTGAAATAATCTCTGTTATCTGTTCTTTACCTTAGACAGGACATTTAGCATGTGTCCTTGCTTGAGGTTACTCATGCTGGCTATAGTTTTTGTGTATGTTTTCCCCTTTTCTTTCTCCTGAACAATACTTGATATTCGTTCTTATTGTATATAGTTTTTTTTAAATTAGGTTTAGAATCTTCTTATTTAGACAAAAGAGGGAAGTGTGATTGGTATTCTTTCAGCCTTGTGGACACCACCCCATTATGGCGTAGTCTGAGGTACTACATGTGGACTGAGAAGCACAGACGGAAGGCATTCTCACTCTCTGGGGTGGTGGTCGGAAGCTTCCAGCACCCACAGAGCGGAGGGTCACAGTTGTCTACCCATATTGTAAGGTTTTCCCCACATAAACATTTGTTATCCTTTATTCTGGGCTCTTGTGGACATCCTTAATGATGCCTCTGCTGAGACGAGCCTGTGACCTACGTATTGGGGCAATCCAGTGTTTCTATCCCCCCAACACAGACACATACTCACACACACGCAAAACAAAAAAACACTAAAATTACTTTTAAGATGACTACCACTGGGGCACAAATTAAACTGTGTTGCCTCTGGCAACCAGAAAGAATATGATACTAACTTTAGCCCATTCTGTGGGCAAAAATGTAGTAACTGCAAGCTTGCAGACAAATTTCTCCTAGAAGTTAGGAAAACAGCATTTTCTAAGAAGCCATTTGAAGGCAACAACTTCAACATCTTCCCATTGTTCATTCTCCCACCCTCTCAGAAATGAGGAGCAGAAACCAACTGTCTGACAGTAACCAAGAATGTTCGCTCTCTTTGTCAAATGTAACCAGAGACAACCCCTGCTGAGGGCTAGTTTAAATTACTTGCTCCAACTATGTCTTGTAAACTAAAATTCAGTCTGGTGTGGTAATGAAAGCCTATAACACCAACACCTGGAAATGGATGCAAGCAATCTGGAGGTTACTCTTTTAAGGCCAGCCTGGGCTACATGAAACATGTATCAAAATAATAATAATAGTAATAATAATAATAATGACATAGATCAACAGGATTGACGTGCACAGCAAAGCTGTTAAATTCCTATGATGAACCAGTGCAAAGGTGTATTCTGCTCCGAGTTTTCTCGTTGGTAAAACTGATCAACTGGAACTAAAAATATTCAACTATGAATGTCATCATTTTCTTGTCCGCTTGTGACATGGACTCGTGGTCTCATGAAGCTTGTTCAATAAAACCATTAACCATCTGCTGAGACAAGCTGAGGTTACCTCTACCAAGCAAAACCAGAAACACTGATACAGACCCTGAGCTTTATGCAGCAAGCCTTGAGAGTAACGGGCTCTCAGTATGGCACTGTGAGCATGCCCACGGTACATCTAAGTCAAAACTAAAAATAACACTCATCTGCACACACCTACTTTGTCTCGGGCATTATCATCATTTTCTTTAAAATCTAGAAGTACAAATTTGCCATGGAAATGGTGTAATAAGATACAGATGCAAAAGAAAACCCATAATATCTCACTAATCACTATTTGATTAAAGAAATACAGTGTTGCCCACATTATCACAGGGACACGGTGTCAGCACTTCCACCACAGATACCAAAATCTGCAGGTGTCCAAGGTCCTTATACAAAATCACATGGACTGGGCAGATGGCTCAGCCAGTTTGACACTTACCAACCAAAAGTGAGAACAGAGTTCAGGTCCTCAGAACCCAATAAATGCCAGGTAGTCATGGTGGCACACCTGAATCCTAATGTAAGGGAAGCAGACACAGAGGACCCACAGAGCAAGAAGACTAGCTACGATCATTGAGTCGTACTCAACCAAAAAAACAAAAGATACCCAATACCAGCCTTGGGCCTTCACATGCTTGCACACACAAATATATGTACCTGCACTGACATGCACCCATGTACACACACACATGGACATGCATACATATGGAAAAATAAATATTATTTGCATAAAACTATAACATATCTTCATACTTGACATCTTTTCTACATTTATAACATAAAATAAAACATGAAAGTTATACAAGTACTTATTGTGTGGATAGCTGAGAAGCACAAACGTCTACACATGTCCAGTTTAGATGTAATTTATTTCAAATATTTTCCATCCCTGGATGGCTTAATCTGCAGTCAAAACCTATCTATGGATACAGTGAGCTGAAAAGATGGCTCAGTGCATATAGCACTTGCTTATTGGAATTATCCTTGTAAATTAAAATTCCCAGCACTCAGGTAAAAGCCAGGCCTGACTACACGTGTCTATACTCCCAGCTCTGAGGGCATGGGGTAGATGTGATGGTAGAGGCCTCAGGACTTGCTGGCTACCAGTGGGGCTTCATATTCAGTGCAATGGGAATATGGCAGAAAATGGTAGAGGAAACCACAATTTTTTAAATGAATATTTTTATAAACACATGCATATCTTCTCTTTAATTGCTAAGCACACTACCCTGAGATCTGAACCCCTTTTAGGAATTAATAAATGCATCCCTTTTGGCACATTAACATCAGACATCTAATTATGGTATGAAACAGCTGATCTCAAGATCTGTGGAAAACAGCACACGATTAAAAATTAAGACGCACAGAAAACTGTCATTAAGAATTGAAAAAGAAGGCGGGTGTGGTGGTGGCGCATGCCTTTAATCACAGCACTCAGGAGGCAGAGGCAGGTGGTTCTCTGTGAGTTCAAGGCCAGCCTTGTCTACAAAGCTACAAAGCAAGTTCTAAAACAGCCAGGGCTGTTATGCAGAGAAACCCTGCCTCAAAACCCTATCCTCCCTCCCCTCTCAAAAACAGAATTAAAAAACAGATGTGATGGAGATATGGCTCAGTGACTGAGAGTATCAGATTCCCAGCACCCATGATAAGGCTCACGGTTGGTCCTGGGTGCTTTGGATGACAAACAGAAAATAAAGATTGTAGTAAAGATTTGGCTAGAGAGAATCTGAAGAGAAATATGGAGAAAAGTGACCCAGGAAGGTTGAAAGTGGAGCCCTTCTGAACTCAAGC